TTTTTTTTAATGTTTTCTTTATTTATTCATGAGAGTCAGAGAGAGAGAGAGAGAGTGGCAGAGGCAGAGGGAGAAGCAGGCTCTCCACCTAGCAGGGAGCCCGATGCGGGACTCGATCCCAGGACCCTGGGATCATGACCTGAGCCGAAGGCAGACACTTAACCATCTGAGCCACCCAGGTGCCCCCAAAATAAGTTTTATCTGGGCATAACTCCTACTCAGTCTTTCAGTGTCTCACCACTTAGGAACCCATCCTTTCCGTAACAGACTTACACTAGGGGTCCCAGTATCTCCTAAGAATTGACTCCTATTATATAGCTATTGAAATTTTTATATTATAACCCCTTTAAAATCCGTTTTCACAACCCTTGAATTACCTGGGAACAAATCCTAATTACAAAATTGACGTATTTGAGATGGTTCTTCCCCTTGCGAAGCTGGAAGTCAACCAAGATAAGATGGAAGAACGCTCTAGGGTGCAGGCACTTGGCAGACCAGCTCGTGCCCCACCTGCTATTCATGGAACTACTCATGCGTGGTTCCTCAGCACAAGGAAATCCGGATTTGTGGGGGCAGCATCTACACCACTTGTCCCCTCTGTGGTCCTCAATCACTGCGGGTTTTAGAAAACATGCATGTGAGCCACCGCCATCCCTATGCGGTCCCATCAGTAGCCTCATGAGTGATGAGAACCTCTGTGTTCAAGAGGCTCCCTGAGCGATTCTGATTCTCCATCCTGAGTAGGAACTACGTGGTCCAAGCCCTGGTCTGTGAGAATTGGAAACTGTTTGCCGGTATCATTTTGTCGTATTTCCTGATCACGTTACCATGGACTAAAGGAAGCCTTCTGTGTAAACCTCTAGCTTTGTGGACTCTTACGGTTCAGTTTCATACATTCATCAAATGATACGGAATACAGTTAGGGTAGCATGGGAGGGAACATGGACCGCACACATAGGGACGGGAGTATATATTAAGTTGACTTGGGGTAGGCGAATGTCATGGGCAAACTAAATAATATTGGGGCACCTGCATGGCTCAGTCAGTTAAGCCTCTGCCTTCGGCTTGGGTCCTGATCTCAGGGTCCTGGGATTGAACCCCGCTTCAGGTCTCTGCTCGGTGGGGAGTCTGCTTCTCCCTCTCACTCTCCCTCTGTTCTCTCTCTCTCAAATAAATAAATCTTTTAAAAATTAAATAATATTAAATACATTAAAAACAAATAAAATCTTGTAAAAGTAGTCAACAGAATTAGCACAAACCTGTACTGTCCCATGAAATCTGCAAATCTCTGGGCTCATTTAATCCTTACAAACAGCAACCCTATGAGGGAGGCACTGTTATCATCTTGGACTTCTAGAGGAGGAAGCTGATGCATAAAGAAGTTGGAAAACAAGTCCAAGTTCACATACCTAGTTAAGTGGCATAAACTGAGACCCAAGCAGAGCTTAAAGTTTAAAAGAGCCCTTGCTTTTAACCCAGACACCAAAGCGCCTTTTGTCTCTAAATTGGAATCAAGGTAGAATTTGCCAATAAGCTAATAATTTAAAGATATTTCCAAGGCTTATACTAAACAAGAGTAAAGAGTCAAGTGGATGGCAATACCTGTCTTCTGTGAATTCTGCTGCCCCCAGATTAAAAGCCAGACCTCTCTTTCCATTGAGTAAAGATTTCAATCGGTGCAAATGCCCTGCTTGCATTGGGGCGTGGGTGTGGAGAGCGGAGACCGTCCTGCTCTATGAAAGCTCAAAGGCACGCCTGAAAAGTGCAGCCTATTACATTCACAACAGGCCACAGAGAACTCTCTGGGCATCCCTGATCTCAGAGAGGTAACGTGTTTCCTAGGATCCTGATCAGGAGGAACCTGCCCAGCCTGTTTAAGTTCATCTTTTCACGTCTGTGGTCGTGGAAATAGGTGACCTCAGAGTCTGCTAACGCACAGCTACATGCTGCTTCGAATCTCTCAGCAACCCTTAGCCAACGTCATTTATTCATTCTGACTACTGGCTTCCCCTCTCTGGCTCCGAGAAGGCCCCTGACTTGGGAGCTGCCTTCCGACCAGACAGATTATTTTATGGTCCTACAAGGTTAAGCATGATACATGTGTTCGGGGGAAATGGAAATGTGCATTAAGAAGAAACATTACTTTTTGATCCAGGAAGGAGAGCATACATAATCTCCTCTAAAGCCTGTGAAAGACTTCATTTTACACATGAAATTGTGTGGACTTGCCCCGTACTGCACTGAACATGGTTTTTGAGAATCACCAGCCTCCAGACAAGCTGCCCTGTGTTGGGGAGGGCCTCCGGCAACAAAGAATAAATTGTAAGCAGATGTAATCTGTGTAAAGTTAGGGGCAGCCAACAACTTCTCGTTGATACAGATCCTGAACCTTACAATGGTATATCCTTAAGGACAAGGTCCAAAAGTGGGCCTGGTGCACATGAAAAAAATTTGAGGCCGGAGGGCCTGGCACAGTGTAGAAGTGTTTTGAAATTAAGACATATATGTGTTTTAATGGTGCAGAAGGGGTTTCCCTCTGTAAAACTCTCTTTCTGCAGTCCAGTGTCAAAATCCATGCCCAGTGGGGATGGGGCAGCCACCCCAAATTTTAAATTGTCTACAAAAACTAAACCAAAGTGGGTTTTTAGCTATTTCAGAATATATCTAAGTGACCAAAAGCATCCCTTGGGGACCTGGATTTGCTCTATAAAAGTGCACAAAGCTCTAATGAGAATTTTAAGGCAAAATTGGACTTGATTATACAAGAGCAGAAAATACGACATTCACCCAGCAAAGCGCACCGTTTAAAGTGCCCTACTACTCAAGCATAATGAGTACATCACATATAAAAAATTTAGAAGACAGGTCTCGTGCACATTATGAGGAAATTGTTGGCATCTCATGATGGGTCATCTTACCCTTGTTATTAAATGACAGCAATCATTAAAATGCCAAACATATTTTGACAGAATTCACTTTATAAAATGTCAGCAAGTCTGTGTTTTTATTAGTTTGTTCCAAATCAATTTAGAAATTTCAATAGAATGCTTGTAAGTATTCCCCAAGCAATGTCCATTCCTGACTTTCTGCACAAAAAAATATTACAAATTAATCAGATTTCCAGATTTCTGCATAATGGCTTTGCACATTTATTGCTTAATCTTATTATAAAATGCTGTTATGATTGACACATCGCAGTGGAGATAGAAGCCAATTGAATAATATGTAGCAGTCAATTTTATTTGTAGCTTAATGTGCTGAAATATTTTTTTCCGCATTTCCATTATTTATAAGTCTGTCCCTTTGGAGAATATATAGAAGAATTTGTTTTAAATGAGCCAATAATACCTTCTTTAAAATTTATAAGCATGATAGGATCATATCTTTTTTTCTTGGCCGTCCACGGCATGCCAGTAAACAGGGTTTGAATTGTCACCCACTTGCTATTCATAGGACAAACATCAGGAAAGAGGATCTCGTTAAGGGTGGCTTGGAATTGGATTTCAACCACCAAGAAAACAAAAGCTACTGAGTCAAACCCCTCAAAAATTGCAGCCGGGTCTGTTTAGTTATTTTTTGTTTGCCTATTCATCTGTTTATGGTTCCTGCCACTATCCTACCTGCTCCAGTCTGTCCTGAAACAAAGCACACGAACGCACAGAGAAACTACACTGTTTTAAGAAGATGTGAAAGACTTGCTGTTTTGGTGGGATTTCATTTCTCGTGCTTTGGCATCCAACAGGATTCCGGCACAGGAAGGAAGCTGCGTTCCCCCTGCATAGCACAGCGGGGCTCCCTGGAGTTAGTGTGTTATTCCTACCATTTCCGTTAGCACCCAGGAAACTTGCTTCAGGAGATCCCTGTGCTGTCCAGGGTATCCCCTAAGGTGACATTGAAAAAAGCTGTCTCTAGGAAAACACATTCATACGAGTTGGTGTCTGCAGTGGGTATGGAGAAAAGGCTTAAGGGTCTACAACCATATTAAGGGATAATATAGATGTACTTGGTCATGTCTGAGATCACGCGTTCTCTGGCTTTGGGAAATTAGATTAGCTGTTGCCCGCCTGTGCATAAAGGATGCGGCTTCCCACCCGCGCAACGCATTGGCATACGCCGTGCGAACTGATGGATCATGCAAGCCTATTAGCGCGACTGATGATGGTGTCACTTTCCCCCGTCACAGCCTTCTCCCCCCGGAATGACTGGCCATCCTGAATATCCGTTAGCATAATTTATGCAGTTGACAAGTGATTTGAGCACTGCAGCTATTGATAAACCACTCTGGCATGTCATCTGTACCTTAATGTTATGTGACATCACAGGAAAATGGGGTCATGGGCAGTTCCCGGGCTGGATCTTCTATTAAAGGGAGCACTTCTCTTTTGAATTCCAGGGGCCAGAGGAAACCCGGCTCTGTCAGACCCAGGCACTCCTGACCAACACCAGGCCAGTCAGACCCACTCCCCTTTCCCGGTTGGGCCACAGGTCAGTATCTCTCAACTGCTTTTCCATTAGGCTGCATTTAGGATGGTTTAACCATATAAATAACCGAATAAATAGTAATGAGTTAAATCCAATCAACTCCAACAGAGCAAACACGGTGATAAATTTTTGTGTGGGAAACTGCATGACTGTATTATTTATTAAATGCCATCAAGGAGAAAGAAAGTGTTTGCAGAACTCCTCTCTTTTTAAAGGCAATGTTGGTTTTAATCATTAGGAAACTTTTTTTTTCCCCTTCTTAAAACCCACTTACCATTGTGCCGTTGGTTACCATGCAGTTTTCTAGAAAGTAAAACTTTAATGACTGGAGTGTGAAGAAAATTAAGTTATTTCAACCTTACTGTAGCCATTTTTGAAATACAGGATGTGATTTAATATAAAAAAGTTAATGCAATTTTAATGCAAGTTCAGCTTATTGGGTTTGACAATACTGTACATCACATACAGCTCTTGCATTAATAAAGAAATACATTCATTATTTTTTAAAGTCCAATATTTGTTTTTTGCAGCCTGGTGTGGTTATACGGAGGTGTAGAACACAATTATAAGAGCTGGGCTCTTGGCTGCGGTTGTTTTAGCTCTGGCATTTAGTGGGACGCTTTCGGAGTTCACCTGCTTTTCTGGGAGAAGAGGCGACTATGGGAGACCGTCTCTCCCCTTTGCGGTCATTGTTCCTGCAAATTAATCACTTTCAGCACTTCGAGGGCGCCCAATTCAAGACTTGGAAACCCAAGTGTAGGACTTGGGTTGGTCGTCACTTTTGTTCCAGCAGCCACCAAGTCTCCCTGTGGTCTCAGGTCCTTGGTGCTCAAGGACAGAAAGCCTGGGGAGGTGTCTGCTCATTTATGGAAGCCCAGAGAGGGTTCTACTGGGAATCTCAGAAGCCGGAATCTCCTGGCTATGCCTTTTCTAAAACTTTCATGCTGGTGACATTGTGTGTGTGTGTGTGTGTGTGTGCACGCGCGCACTTGAGTGCATGCATGTGCGTGCGTGCGTGTGTGTGTGTGTGTGAACATACCAGGAGTGACAAACTCATGCCTCTGGGTCAGGTCACTGCGGGACAGACCCAGACAGTGAGACGTGGTGGGCACCTTGACAAGCTGGAGAATGCATGCCCTGCTTCAACCCCAAGAATTCAATTTAAAAAAATACTACATGCCATAAAAAAAATACTACATGCCAAACCCCCCAAATCTCTGACCTGCGTAGTCTGAGAACCAGCCATTTGCTTCCCCCTTATCATGATATTACTGTGGGCAGTGATATAACATCAGTGATCTGAGGACCAGTTTATCATTTTGTACTTACTCTTAAAAAATATGTTTGTTTTGTGCTTTAGAGTGGCTTTCTTATTTTTTTTTAAAGAGAGGCAGTTACTTCATGTGAATTTAGTAGACTCTAACAAACAGATTAGGAGTGAAGCCCATGGAATCTGGAGTAGTCTAGAACCAGGCTGCATCTGTTGTCCCAGGGCTTCTGCAAGGCCTCCCCAGAAGGAGCTGTGATGGGAGGCTGTAGGCAGCGGCCAGAGAGCGGGGTCAGCCCTCCTCCCCTCATTCTGCAAATACAGCAGCCCCACTTCTCTGAATCAGTTCGTGCATGAGAGGGCATGGCCAGAAAAGGGTGAGCCATGGGCTCTGGAGCAGCCTGCCTTGACATGATCCCCCCACGCCCACCAGATATGGGGCTTTGGGCAACTTACTAATCCTTCTGTATCTCGTTGGTAGGACAACTGCATTCATATGCCTATGGCAATATTAGAATAGTGCCTGCCTATAATTTACTGGGTTTTGCACTCTGCCTCTATTTACTTACCTTTTATTTTATGGAATCATGCTGCGTCAAAAACAAAAAAGTTGAAACCCCTCCATGAGAGTTTTGTCTTGGTTCCTCCAGAAGAAAAATGGACATGGCATTATGTGTCACGTGGTTCCCAAACGGGTACAATGAAGGCATTGCATCGAGGTCTGTAAGACCCATGACCCTTCTGGTCACGTGGCCTGGCCAGCGCAGGAATCCTTCCTAGGTCATCCTGGTGAAGAGCTCATATCTGGGCTCAAATCCGCCTACTGCCCAAAGTGCACACCGATGAGGCTGCTTGTCCACATCAAACAATGGCTAATGGATAAACAGTGGACACAAACCCTTGTTTCTAATCTTGTATGAACTGAGCAAAGAATGTTAGAGTAATAGCAAAAGACATCTTTAAAAGATTTGCCAACTTACCCACCTCAAATGTCTTTGTTTTCCTATACTTTTTTCAGAACTCTTAATGTACACACACAATTTTACCATTTTAATGATTTCATTGTCATTGCTTAATGATTATCCAGTTTATTTTAGGTATTCTCGTACAATAAACATTTGCTATTTTTCTGAAGGAGGTGCCATAATGATCCACTTTAAAGACTGTGTAATACCTTGTCAAGTTTAGTACTATAACAAAATATTATTCAACATTTATATATTTTTAAATGTAATGCATGTTTTCATGCATTTATCTTTTGTCTTTTTGAATGGTATCTTCAGGCTCTATCCCAGGAGTATATTCTGAGTTAAAAGGGGTTGAATATTTCTGCAGCTCTTGATATAGATTTCCAAATTGCTTTCCAAAAGGCTTATGATTGTGCATATGTCCTAAATCCACATAATGGTGTCACTAAAGACCTACCAGCATGCTGTAACTCTTTTACATTATTTTTGCTGCTAATAAATAAAAAATAGTATTTTACTGCTACTTTTGAGCCAAAACAAAACAAAAAACCCCAAAAACAACAACAAAAAAACACCTCTGATGCCAATGAGTTCTTTCTGGAACAACAGAGAACAAATTAGCAAAGAATTTCAAATATGTAAGGTTAAGATCAAATGGAAATTCATTGGAAGAATAATATATAAGTGTAAGGTATTACTTTTAAAGGTATTTGAGTTCCTCAAAAGAAATCCAAACCCAATGAAATTTTCCAAAGAAATAAATGAAATGTGATTTCAATTTTTTTTCCCCTACTGGTTCATTCTGGAACAGAGCATGTGTGTTTGCTCCTTGTTCAGGAAATTTCTGACCCTGCTAGAAGAACTAGACCACTAGAAGAAAATGCTCTGAAAGGCCATGTCTTGGTTCCACTGGAAAGTGAGCTAGGATTATCTGTTTCCTTGCAGCCACTTCTGACAGCACAACAGTTAGCCTCGGCTGTCGCTGGCGTCATGCCTGGAGGCACGCCGGCCCTCAACCAGCCCATCCTCATCCCCTTCAACATGGCTGGACAGCTAGGAGGACAACAAGGACTGGTCCTCACTCTGCCTACCGCGAATCTCACCAACATCCAAGGGCTGGTAGCAGCTGCTGCAGCCGGAGGCATTATGACTCTGCCATTGCAAAATCTACAAGGTAACCCACTGTTTCTGTGTGCCATATAGGGCTCTATCCGTGGCCGGTGTTCTCTGCGTTGCTCCCATGCCCCCGATGGTGAATGTGGTTCAGAGCTGCTCCCGCTAGCAAGGGAGATGGAAGGCTTGCGTAGGAAGCCAAGTTCCACATTGTGTGTGAATCCCAACCTTGCTCAAGCCGTGGGCTTTATCAGTCCTTGTGTCCTGGCATTGATTTGCAACCTTTCAGGTCTTCTAGAGGCACCCGTGAGCACTCATTGTGCAACACATCGAAAACTTAGATATAAAATTATTGTGTTGTTATTTGAGGACCTGGGTTATGATCTCATGACTTCTTCAGTGTAGCCATCTGCAAAGAAAGGTTATACATGATTTGTTTGTGTGGCAAGTGGTTGGAACATCTCCAGTACAAGGTAGACTTTGGAAGTCTTAATTTAATTATTGTTTTCTTGCTAAGTATTTTTAGTTATAATTATTAAACAGAAAGTATATTATTTGGGATCATACTTCATAATGAGAAAAACAGACTTGTAGATTGAGCCTTTATATTACGTGGGCATTTAACAAGAGCTGGATTCATTTAACTCTGGAAGGGTAGTTCTTCTGGTTCTACAAAGGTTTTCACTTTTCTGGGAAAGATTTGCTAACACTGATTGATAGACTGATTCACAAAAGACTCTGTTGAAGGAAGAATTTTATGGTGAAAAATGGCCTGAATATGATATGATTAGGATGCCTAACAAAGAGAAAACAAATTTGTTTTGGGCTGCTCAAAGGTGTTTGTTTTTCCCATTGATATGAATGTTAGCAATTAGAAAGAAAAATTTTTTTTTTTTTTTTTTGCACAGTGAGAGTTTGATGGGGTAAGTTATCAGAGTAACAATTTAAAGTACTTTCTGTAGTTGGTCAGATGTCAGAGCTCCTTACGGTCAGAGCATCAGACCAAAGATTAAGAAATAAACCACGTAAAAACTGGTTAACTCTTGACCCAAACATTTTACAAACCGTATGTTCTAATATCCCACCTATTGTTGCCACTTCTTGACTTCCCCTTTAATGTTTAAAACACAGTCTCTCTCATACCATTAAATTGTGCCAAGAAACCTGCCATTCATAAATCATGCATGCCCAGGACATACTAATGCACAAACTTTACTTGTTTCAAATTTGAGAGTGCCTGGTAGCCAGGATCTCAAGATTAAGCAAATAAGGCAGGAATAAACAAGGTGAAAGCAGAAGCAACAAAGTGTGGGGAGAGGCTTTCTAATGTAGGTGGATGATGAAATCTTAATGAAGAAATGGGCATTATCAAAATGCAACCTTCCATTTGCAACATTTTGTGCTTATGGGTGTATTGACTATTATAAATAAACATAAGCTCACAGAGCTCCTAGGTCATGAATTAATCTTGCTTCGTTAAAATAGATGCCAAAGTTAGAGTCCAAAAAATCAGGCTTGTTGTATCTTATTATGGTTTGGTATTCTTAGGATTTTAGTACCTGGTTATTCTAAGGGCTCAAAGTTAGCAACTGTGGACTAATGTGGAATGTGGACTTCCATCAAGATTTTCTCTTTTCTTTAAAGATCAAATTTTGGATTAATTTATAGTTTGGAATTTTGTTCTTTTTGGCACCTTTGGTTTCAGAAAAGAAATCCTAAGATTTGTGTCCTGAGTAACTCAGTTCAGTAAGAATGCTAACTCTTTTTACCCCTTGGTGCTTCTTTTTTTTTTTTTTATGTTATGTTAATCACCATACATTACATCATTAGTTTTTGATGTAGTATTCCATGATTCATTGTTTGCGTATAACACCCAGGGCCCTATGCAGTACGTGCCCTCTTTAATACCCATCACCAGGTTAACCCATTCCCCCACTCCCCTCCCCTCTAGAACCCTCAGTTTGTTTCTCAGAGTCTGTAGTCTCTCATGGTTCATCTCCCCCTGTGATTCCCCCCCCTTCATTCTTCCCTTCCTGCTATCTTCTTCTTCTTCTTTTTTT